TGATCGTTCGACGAGGAAAGAAACGATCGATCGGAGCGATCTATAGGAATCCCTCGAGGAAGAAGAAGGACGAACATGATCGATACACTTGCGGTCGAGGAACACCTCTGACGGAATTTTCGTCACACAGCCTGGTCGTGACGACTAGAATTCGGTCCTGGCACGAATCTACCTCGAACAACGATCCTTCGAACGTCTCGATCCTTTTCCCTCTCCCAAATGTCTCTCTTTTTCTCTCTCTATCTCTCTTCCTCTCTCGGTCGAGCCGCGGTAGAATTGAAAAGCGAGAGGCAGCTTCGATAAAAAACGGATATACTCTTTATAATAATATGCACGTATGTTAATTATTATTTATCGATGACGTGGTATCTTGCGTGTGTGTGTGTGTGTGTTCGTGTAGCATGTGTGTGTCGTCGGTCACGTCTATCTATACTTTTTTTCTTCATTTTCTTTCACTTTTCTGCATTAATCGTTACGGTTGTACCGGAAATGTTAATCGAGATACTCGAAGCCATTCGTGCGAGGACTGCCGATCGAAAAATGGGAGAAAACGGTTCGATTCTCGCTCTCTGCTTGGAAATTATAAACGACGAAGGACGAAGCGACGATCTGTTCAGTTTTTCGTTTAAAGAAACAGCTGAACTCGAACGATGCACTCGATGGATCTTTGAGGAATTTCTTTACTGGCTGATTCGGTGTCTCTTTTCGGAGAGGCTCGATTTTTAACACCTTATCGACGGTTTTGCGTGAGTTCGGTGGTGGAGATTAGTGAGAAAGATTGTAAAATATCGTGTGAAATTTGTTCGACTGAAAACTGTGAGATATTACGAGTAACGTGACGGAACTGTGTGTGTGTGAATTTGTTACAGATAACGTAATGTTAATCGTCGATTTTTAAAACCTCGTCGATAAGGCGTTGAGCTGGATTTAAAAAGACGAAAGAATTTCTCCGTACATTTTCCAACGCAAGTATTGTACCTTCCCATATTGTTCTATTCAGTCGTTCGTTACGTTCGTTACGTTCGTTACGTTCGTTGTTAGATTGCAATTAAATCATTCTTTTAAATGGTTTCTTCGTAATGGCTCGAATTGTAATCTGAGAGTGTTTAATGCAGATTTTCCAAGCGTAATTTCCTCTCCCGTTCGGTCTGACACACCTCTACCATTCGAAAAGAACAAAAACTTGCGCTCGAAACAGGTAAGAGGAGATACAAGACTGTGGTGCATTAATGCCGTTTCGCATTCTTATCGATACTCTCGGTTTTCATTTTCCTGCGGGCAGAAAAAAAGAGCGGATCTCTGTCTGGAAATCATCCCGCGTTTTGCATCATTTCGAACAACCGTATCGGCGTGTTTTCTCCAAATTTCTTATCAATCTCTCGTTAGTTTCTAAATTAGAAATGATCGCGAAATTATTCGTATCTCTGTTTGCGAATTTTTACACGAAATTTCTTTGGTCGAAACGCGAGTACATCTGTATTCCCTCCTCGTTTCAGGTCGTCGCGATCAAAAATTTCGAAAGATACACAGCGTGGCAGAGTATCCGAATCTATTTCTGCCTATTCACTCGCGTGGTCTCTAAAAAATCTTTGCAAAAATTCGATGTTCAAAAGGGGTGCGGAGTGAACGGGTTGTTTGGCTGGTCTCGCGAAATTTCCAATTTGCTTTTCTTTCCCCGAGAATGACGCAGTGGACGTGTCTCTGTCATCCGACTCTTTCTTTCCCAGTTCATCCACGAACGCGATCGACAGTTTCGAAAAGAACCGAAAGAATGCTCGTTTTCCTTCGACTCTCGTCCCTAAAACACTTCGTCGATGGAGCGGATTTCGAGAACAGCAGTGACATTCTGGTAGAAAAAGGAAAATCGATTCTACGAAACGTAAGAGAATTTTTACTTCTTTTCCTTCTTTTTTTTCATACTTGGACAGAGATAGTTACATCGATCAACGCGATTCGAAACACTCCAACAGGTTCTGCGTAGACACTTCTCGACAGACTTCCCTTAGAAATGAAAAATTTGATTAACAATCGTTGTGCATTCATTGTTCGAACATATTTCGTCCATAGCTACGAACGAGAGAAAAAGCTCGATCTCGTCGAACGCAGACACTTCCGCGTGAACATTTTTCTTCGTATGTCATCGTTCGACGAAAAGGTTCGCGTTAATTTTCAAACGATAGACATCGTATTTATAGACGAAAATATACGAAGGGAAAAATTACGATGTTCTTTCATTGCGAAAACATTTCTGATCACTGTTGTCCTCTCTCTGGACCATGTCGAACATCCGTCATTTTTAAAGAACAGTATAATCCGCATCGTTTCGCCGTGTACCTAAGTGCGAAAATCCACGTGTGCTGCGTGTTTTTTTTCTTTTTTTTTTCTTTACTACTGATAGTAATAATCAAAGATAATCGCTATTTGTAATTAAAAAGCTGCTTCTCATTAGCGCTGCGCCGCTGCTCCTCTCGTTACAAAGTAACTACGAGTCGTTTAATCGTTACATCGAATGTATCGGTATCATTTACAGCCTAAAATACTGAGCAAAGAACGAATAGATCTCTCTTGTGATCGACGATCCTCGATCCACCTCTCTCTCTCTCTCTCTCTCTCTCTCACCCTCTTTCCTTCCTTTTCACTCTCTCAAAACGAAAAAAAAAAAAAACACCATTCTTCCCGTACACTTTCCTCTCGTTTCAACACCGTTAAAAAATTCCAATCGCCGACGTTCTATTCAATTTTCACCCGATCGAAGATTCAGTTTCTCCCGATAATCGTTGTTAAGTTAAGCTACCTGAGAATCTTTGCGGAGAGAGAGATCGATCGAGGGTGATCCTCGATCATCGCTTTTCACCCCTTAATCACTGCGTGATAAATCGCCGCGGGCGTGGGGGGAGGTTGGGTGGTTTTGGGGAGGAGGAGGAGGAGGAGGAGGAGGATGAGGTGGTGGGACGGGTGAAAGAAGGTAAACACTCGGGAGATCGAGAACGAAAAGAGAGGAAGAGAAACCAACGTACGCTTTAGGAGCAATAATTAATTCGAGATATCTTGTAAAAAATTCTTTACAACGTGTATACGCATACACACGCACGAAAATGTATATACGTACACACGCGCGTGTATTTATATAATAATATTTATATACCGTTTCATTGCGCAGGCAATTGTTCTCCCGTTTTTCTACTTCTCCTTCCTTTTATTTACTTTTTTCTTTCACGTCTCACCTTTCTCACACCTCGTCCCGTGTATCGTGTGTCGTTACATCTTTTCCTTTGTTCATTTTACTTTTTGGTTCGTTTGAATATCTTCTTCTTCGCCTCCTCCCAATCGTGCTTGCGTTTCTTCCCTACTTTATGGCAATAATCATAATATGATACAATAATATAATAATAACAATAATAATAATAAGAGTATTTAGCAATTATCTAAATTTCTCTCCGTGATAATTCTCCACTTTGTTCTTCGTCATCTTCGTCATCTCACTTGCCTCGTATTTCACTTGTTAATTTATTTAGTTTATTTACTTATTACTTGGTTTCATTTTTTTTTTAATTTTTATTTTTGGTTGTCTGTATAAAGGACATTGCAGTTTTACTCGTAGGTGGCACTCAGAATTGTATTTATATATTTTTTGTTTTTGTGTTTCGTTTAATTAAATTGTTCATCTCTCGTGGGTCGTTCAACGTATTTCTCGCTCCCTGTTTCGCTCCCGACAATGCCCTTGCCTTTTCTCAATCTTCGAACGCTCGCACGTAACGACAGTCTATCGAGGGTAGCAAACTTATTCTGTTACATTCTTCCTTGTCGAATTTTATGCTTCGATTTTATGCTCTCTCCCTCTCTCTCTCTCTCTCTCGGTGTTCAGCGTTTAATTCAACCACCACTTTCGTCAATCTCACGTTTAAACCTGGTCGCCTATAAGCATTTTAAAAAAAGAAGGTGCTCTCAGTCGATATATCCTTAAATTTCAAAAGATTTCCTCAGCTACGTGTTAATTCGTGTGTGTTTTTGCTTCTTTTTTTTTTTCATTTTTGTTCTTTTATTCTTTTTGCCTTTCGCTTTCACGTGAAAAATTCGAGAAGCCCTCCCCGCGAGCTGCAATAATATCACTTCCCTCCGAAGTATTTACTCGTTTATTTATTTATTTTTACTTGTTTATTCGTTAACTCTATGAACGTGTCGATCCTCTGCCGTTGTCTTGTACTTTCATTTTAGTTTCTTTTTTTTTTTTTGTTTTGTTTTCTTATTATTTAATTCCCCCCGAACTCCTTCGACCTCTGCACGTAATTATCTAATTCTCATTGGAACGAAATCTGTCTCTCTCTCTCTCTCCCTCCTTCTCTTACCAAGTGCATAAAACGAGTATAAGCATCGCCTCTCCAGAGGGGAAATATTCAATTGTACGTATGTCCCTGCGTGTACGTGTTTGTCTGTGTATTTTACGCGTGTAGTTCGATTAAAAAATTGTTCGAAGGAAATAGTAGCATCGATAACTCTTTAGAAACCTCGAAGGCAATTTCTCGTTACCTGCGGTCGGATTAACACTGTTTCTTTTCATGTATTCATGTGTGTATGCGTGCACGTGTGTCTCTTGTTTGTATAGAACTTTCTCTGAAACGCCGCTCGTGCTTTCTGTTCTCACTCTTTTCTCTCGTCTTTTCGCTCTTTCAACATGAACGCGTTCCTGTGTCACCTCGATGTATCGCTGAACGCCCGCCGATCGATCCCCTCTCGCCGTTTCCTCCCCACGAGACAATTTTCGCGATAACATCGATTCACTGTAGCGTGACAAGTAGACAGATAGTGCTTTCATCGAAGTACTGAAGTTACTAATCCTCTATAGTCGCTGCTTGGCATCGACAGTCTGCGTAACTCCGAACAAATAGTAACAATTTTAACATCATTCTGCGCAAATAGATCGTTGAGTCTGTAGATCGAGTATTTTTAATATCATGTAAAACGGTGCGTTTCTAACTTAATTAATTTCACATCGGAGAGCGAGAGACAAATGCAAATTTTCAACTGCTTCGCTGTAAATGTTGCATTTCTTTTTTTCTTCTCTTTCGAGTTACGCTACTGTCGATCGCAAAACAGCGATGTGGCCCCGTGATTAGTAACGCAGTGTGTGTGTGTGTAACAAAAAGCCGGGAACAAGAAACGGACGTTCTTACCTCCGAAAAGAAGTTCTACGTAAAATATTAAACGCTTAGATTTAATACAAGTAGAAAAGCGTGTGTGCTCGAAAGAACAAGGTGTAGATATAATTACTCAGAAGATAGTATTGCCACCTTAAAAGTATCAACAGTCATATTGCTAAATATATATTCGACGATGCAAAAATGTTCGAAAAAACAAGAGAAGTCGAAGAAGAAGAGATTCGTGTGAAAATGATAGGAGAAGAAAGAAACGGCGGGGGAAAAATCGTTGAAAGAAGATCGATCGGAGAGCGCGTACCCTATCCTGGCGCCACATTCGCTAGATCCTCCAAAAGGGAACGGAAGGAGTCCACAGCCATCCGAATGATCATTTATGATCGCGCCGCCAGTTCGTCAGCTGGACGACGCGACACGTTTCAGTCGCAAGCGAGCCGCAATTACTTCAAAAAAGAAGGGAAACCCTGGCCTTAACTACCGTGATCCTGATCGAGCTCGTCCAACGAGTCCAGTCTCGCGATTGGTGCTTGTCCCGCGCCTTCTTGCGTTGCCTGCCTGCTCTCTACACGCTGACTCGATGACAGCTCGCTGGAGCCACGATGATTCGTCGAATCCTTCCTCGATTCGCTGCTTCGCGGACGTTGAGAACCTCCTCGATCCGGCATCGACACCACGCAGCTCCACGGATCGTCCACGATCTTTCCATCCACCTCTGGCTCTGAACGTTTGTTGAAAGAGCTGTACCTGTCGCGATTATGAAACGGTCAGTTGCAAGTGGACCAAGTGTCAAATCTTACGCTCTGTCGCTAAAGTGTCTACCCTAGCCTTTTGACTGTCACGCAACAGCGGCAGCGAACGTACGATTTTCAGCCGTAACGAAAGGGTTAAACCTGGAAAGACCTTACGTACCCGCTCCTGAACTCTCCTCTCCTGAACGCAGCGGTCTGACTGTGCCATGGATGCGACAAATGTGCCTGTTGCGCATTGGATGGCACCGCCAGGTTCACCGGTTGGCTCTGAGATCTCGTTGGTGCCGCTCTTGCGTTCAAAGCCGCCTTCAAGGCCGCGGCAAGCTCGGGTGTGTCCGACGCGACTGTTAATCGCGACGCTCCCGACGACGTGGACGTTGGCTCTCTCGTTGGTGGTCTACTGCAGATGGAAATCGAAACGAGAATTAGTGGTTTTATTCGTGATCGTAGAGCGGATCGCGCGTCCGCTATGAGCAGCAGCGAAATATATATATATTTATATACTTGAAGCATCGTGATTATGTACAAGGGGATTCGGTAGGCCTCTAATTCCTCTAAGTGTCCCGAACAGTGTCGCAAGTCTGTCTGGCTGGGACTCCTATTGTTCAATCGCGGAGAAAATATATGACATCGACATTGTTTCTTCTCTTACTTCTACTTTACGAGATAAAAACGGGGGGTATGTATTTCGTTCGATCAAAATGAAGACGTTTCGTCTCGTTCAGCCTTGATTCAAACGCCACCGGTTATCACAGGGAGCACGAGTCTCGAGTTAATCGGTGCTAAGAGGTATTATACGGTAGAATCTCGATAGTTCTGCGAGAGAGACAGACTGAAATTGGGATACCGAGTTCTTTCGTTGATGGAGAGACCTCGCGTTGAGTGGATAGAGGATATCGATCTGGGTTTAGCGGTTGAACAGACGACGGAGTTGTTTGTTTCTGGGGTTCGTTTCGATAGCTTCGCTGCTGGCGTGAGTTTTTCCACGAGTATCGGAAATTTTCGGGAATTTCAAAACTGTCGAAATCCTCTGTCCACTCGGTGTAATATCGACGATCGAGATCCTGAAACTATCGAGACTGTACTGCACTTCTTTTCTAAACGAAACTAGCAAAACATACGTATGCTTGTGCACTAATGAAAACTTATGTCCTACGTTGTGGCGATTCATACTCGCGGGAATCAGCTACTAATTCAATCTCTTACCTCTGTCCGTCGTGATGGGATATTTTTAAGTTGCTACGAAGGGAAGTTCTGTTAGGTGTGCGAAGGGTGTTTCGTGAATTAACTCGAATGAGAATCGAAATTTTCCTGACTCCTTTGCAGAATTAACATTCGATGTTTCCTCGATATTGAATGTAGTTAATGATACTACGTCCATCTATTTATGAATCATCTAAGTGTATGTACCAATACTAGTGTCGAGGATCGTCTAAAATGTCTGTTCTATCGTGGAGGATAATTAGAACGAACGTTCTCGGAAATTTCCCTTCGAATTGTCCGGTAAAACTGAGGGGAGAACTGATCGAGAGAAATCGTATTATTTTCCCGCAAGCTTCGAGAACGTGCTACGTCGCACAACAACTCAAATCATCTACGCACGCGAGACTTGTGATAATATTCTAGATAAGGGAGACGAGAGAAAAATTATGAAAAGAAGGGGATCGATGTGTTACTAACGAAAAATCTAGCACTAGTGTTAAAGAAAAAAAAAGAAGAAAAAAAGTTAAACCATTCTCAGAATAATCTCGAAACGATTCTCGAGGTAAATGTCGATGTCAAATTGTTCGTTCTAATTTCATACAAGATTTACAAAAAAAGAAAACAGATCGAAAGTGCAAGAGGAACGAAGATCGAGACAAGGAGAGAGAGAAAGATTGAAATCGTTCAAAGTATTTACAATGCAAAAGATACGATTACACATTGGCAGCGCTAGTTTTAGAATACACTTTATCTTTGTTAATCTTTAGCATTTACATACTCCTGCGCGACACTGCTCGCAAAAAAAGGGTTTCAAAGAAGAGTATGAGAGAGTATGGTCACCTTCGGAACTTGTCCAACCTTTCCAAAATAAAAGACGCCGAAATCAAATGCAACTGATCCAGGGATTTCGAAAGAAAGCTTTCCAAGAATAAAAACATCGATTACTTCCTAGGAAAAACAGAATCAGTTTCTACTTGAAGAAAAAACAAAGAAAAAAAAGAACCACAGAGAAAGAAAGAGTGAGAGAGAGAGAGAGAGAGAACAAAAGAGAGAGAGAGAGAGAGTGAAAGAGAGAAATGGTTTTTTTTTATAAAGAAACACGATTAGCTACTATTCTTGAAATCGGTTTCGATTACGAAGTCGAACTCGATTGAAAGAAAAGACGAATTTAAAAGAAAGAAACACACACAAACGTATATATAGAGAGAGAAAGAGAAAGAGAAAAATAGTGAGACACAGAGAGAAAGAGAAAGAAAAGACACATGTTACATCTGCTATGACAAACAGACTAACGATTTGGTATTGCGTGAAAAAGAATGGCACATTCTTTCCTAAATCTGAACAGAAAAGAAATTAGAAAAATTTCAAATTTTCTCACAAATTATCCGAAGATTTCTAAAATTATTTGTCGAACATATTATTACATTAAAATGTCAATATTTTTGCCCGTAATGTCACATATGGTGATTTCCTTACTTTTCCCCATCGAAGGCCAGTTTTTTTCACACTTTGCCTGGTGATCGACAAGGTTTCTAGTTTATCACGAATCCCAGGTACTTACCTAAACAAACCGTGAGACGTGCTAGGCTGGATCTTTCCGTTTCCATTGCTCGAGGGTTGAGCCGTAGGTGGTTGAGGTTCGCTGGCGGATCTCTGGACCGGTGCTCTGCTACCTTGCCTGACAGGTCCAGCTGGAGCGGTTCCAGGCATCATCTCGATACTGGAACTCTCCCTCGACGAGTTGAGCGTCTGTTGAAGCAGAGTCAAGATCAATCTGATGTTGTCACCCATCGTATGCTCCAGAGAGGACACCTGTCGCGACAGCTTGTCTATTCTCGCGTTTATCTCCTCGATAGGCCGGCCTGGTCCACTTTGAAAGTCACCTGCAATAATTTACAACGAACACAGATGAACGACGATGTTCGGAATTAAACGGACCTAAATTAGACAGTCTCCTTCGTTCGTTTCAACATCGAAAAATAATATTTCCAGAACGAACAAGTGAATTTTGATTTAGGTAGCAATTTTCCGAGTGAAGTGTCACTTCTCGACGTCTGAGAAAAATACCATCGGGTCACTTGAAATTCCGTTTCTCAAAGGGTTCGGTATCGTAAGACACTCGGGAAACACGAATTCACGGGCAAAGTTACGGAGAACACGGGACCATCGGTGGAAACACAGAACACGTAGATACAATTCTATTCACCGTGAGACTGCGGATGCTGCGGTGGTGATGGCGTTGTATAGTGACTGGACGTCGTCGATGTCTGGTGAACCGCACTCTGGCTGAGGCAGCTTTCACCAGCAGCAGAGCTTCTCCGCGCTGGTTTCGTCAATGGCGTGGTCACTGGATAAACCCAGGCACAGAATCAGTACCATGAGCCAGGGAAGTAGCACGAGCCTTCCTACCCTCTAAAAGTGACTCTTATCTCCAAGAAAAAAAGGGGAACAAGGAGGGCAGAAAGACAGACAGAGCGATAGAGAGAGAGAGAGAGAGAGAGAGAGAGTGAAAGAGAGAGAGAGAGCGAGGAGAAGAAGAGATCGAAACTCTTGTATAAAACTATATCCAGGGACTTAATAATCGTGCCGTAAGAGAGAGAGAGAGAGAGGAGAAGAAGAGATCGAAACTCTTGTATAAAACTATATCCAGGGACTTAATAATCGTGCCGTTTTCTTTCTTGAGCACCGGTACTCGCCAGGAGCTGATTATGCGACAACATCTCTGTACAATGAGTTTGTCCTGGTCGACGTATTAGAAAAACTGGCCTGTCTAACTTTCGCCAAAATCGAATACTTACTCTGCTTGGCTAGGTAATCGTGACTCGTCAATGGCTGCTGATGGATCTTGTGCTGACGTAGGTCCGGTATGCTGCGCTTGAGATGGGTTAGCATGCCTGAACAACCAGGTTTCAAGGTGTTAACGAACACGGGAGTCAAATGCAAACGCAAAGCTTAAAAAACGCTGCACGCGCTTAACCCAAACGCCTCCAATACGTTCTGTGTGCTTTGCAAGGAATTAACATGTCTGTTGAGATGAGCTTGATTGAACGTGGAACAGACAAGAAGTATTACGAAGAAATTGTCTCAAGCTTATCTCAAATATTTCTTCAACTTTTCACGTAAATCCATTTATCATTTTGCAGTATTTTCCTGATACAAGATTCGTTACAAAAATACAAAAGTAATTGAAGTGATCTTGAAATTCTGTGTAGTAATAAAACAATTTAGGTAGTGCGCTACTAAGTAATTTTCATTCATGTAACATTCGCTAAAGATTGATATGTACAGAACTGTTCAAGTGATTTATTTACATATGAACATTTATGAATAACAACTATCGACGTCGAGGTGATTTCAAGATCACAACGGAGTTTGATAATTCGTCGATCAAGGCGATTGGGCTAAGGGGATGTTTTAGCGGATAGAGAAAAAGGGGGCCAAGAGAAAAAGGAGGAAAATACGTCGATCGAGACAAGCTCGTGAGAAAATGAACTACGCTACGGAGACGAGATTGTTATAGAAAAAAAAGTGTCTACGGAGGAATGAAGATCATTATGAGACACGAGCAAGTGGCAATTGAATCAAGATGAGTCTGATTGAAGTGGTAATCTGGCGATCGTCAAGTGGAAACGGGGAGGGAGTTGAAAACTTTCAAACTTCGAACACTATCCTTCTAAAGTTATTCTCAAACTTTTCACCTTGAGAATATCGAACGTTCTTTAAAGTGATTTTCCTGTATTAATCGCAGAATTATCGACAAGAAAAGGGAAAATTTCTTAAGCAAAATGAATCCTTTTAACAAAGCTATTCCCCCCCGATTAAGCGAGTCAAGAAAATTGCACAATATCCAATCAAACGTTAGTAAAAAAAAGGAAAAAGGAAGAAAAGTAGTTCTCGTCCCTCCGCTTCCACTCCAGGGCTACTTGTATAATTAGAGCAAACTGTAATTACTGCACTCTGCTGTGTAAGAATCGTGATTACCTTTCCACAATAGTGTTGTCGACCGGTCCGGAGAGAAACGGTCCAAACTCACGGTAAAACGGTGTTGAGTAAAGTAACAAGGGGAGTAAAAAAGGGGGGTAAGCCGAGCTTTTTGTATATACAAATGTTCATTATGAAGTTTCTATGTGTGTCTCTCATAATACGAATGTGTCGTTGTAAGAAACCAAAAAAAAAAGAAACAAAAATGGTAAGCATTGATGTGGCTGGGATCTTCCACCGTCCGTGTATAGCAAACAGTTCGAAACCGAGAATTCGTAAAAAAAGTGTCCCTGCTCGAATATGTATATGTATATACATATATACATATATTAAGAATTCTATTTGTGTCGTGCAGAGAACAACATTCCTCAGACAGTAAGTAGAGGCAAACAAGAGAGATAGACAGTAGATAGATAGATAGATAGAGAGAGAGAGAGAGAGTAAGAATCGGTAAAATAGAAGGCGATTACTCCTTGGGAACAAAACGGAGTAAAAAAGAGAATTGATCGACTGAGAACGCGGTTTTTCTCTCTCACCAGTTATGGAATTCAGCGTGGTGCTCCTCTGCTTTGGCTCGTCGAACTCCAGGTTCAATGGTGTCACATCTTGGCCGGCTTTGTCTGTGCTGAACTCCAAAATTCCATGACCACTTGCTTTGTCACTGTTCATAGAAATAACAACGAAGAAAAAAATGTTACAGCGATCTCTCCCCTTTTCTTTCTGTAATTCTAATTAATCAACGAACTTACTAGTCTTCCTGATCACCCTGCAAGGAGTCTTGTCGACCAGTGGGGATAAGATTGGTGCCAGGACCTCCGGGTCCTCGAAAGTATCTTGGTGGACGGAAAGCGAATCTCCTAGCGTCGACCTCGACGTCCGTTGGAGTGCTGACAGGAAACCTTGCTGATATTGGATCTACACCAGCCTGATCCTCCTGTAAATTGTTCAGCAATTCCCGTAACCGCTCTATGCAACAAACTTTCTTCCAATCTTGACATTCGACGAGCAAAAAAAAATTAGACAAACTGCGAAAATCTGACTGAAAATCTACTCAGGAGATAGTGCACAGCTTCCCCTTGAACGTGCATTTTGTTTGAAGTCGATATCTCGAATGGTTACCGAGATACAGGACTTAGAAGCGTAGGGTGCGAATACAGGAGACGATGAATGGAAGCTGAGATTCCAGGAACTGGAGTGTCCTACTTTTTTTTCCAGGAAGTGCGTACGTTAGAGTAGTAATAGTAGAAAAAACGCTTGCTCAGCGTCTTCCATTGAGGAGCGCACACGTGTTCACCGTAGGGTAGGTAAACGAACGAGTGCGAGAGAGAAAGAGAACACATGAGTGGGAGAAGGACAGACATATGGTAATAGTAAAAATTCGACTTCCCTTTACACGACGATATCTCGGGAACCGGAAGTCCGATAGAGATAAAACAAAGTGCGTTTTAAAGGGGAAGCTCCAACGTTTCTTACGGTATCATTTACTCGAACGAAACTTCGGTAGTCTTGAAGTACCGAACTTCGAAACTGTTCCACTTTTCGCTACTTTCTTTCGTTCGCTACAGCGTGTAGCGAAAGTTTGCAAATTCCGAGTTTGATAATTTGCCACTCTCAGGCATACTAGTACAAGTACATTTGTTCGAAATAAGGGAAATGCCTAAAAAAAAAAGAATGCAGGAATTTTTCAAATTATGAAACATACGTACGTCTCTTAGTTTGAAAGTGATCTCGAGATTCTGGCTGAAGTGGTTCGAGAATTCCGGATAGAGAGCCAGAACGTCGAGCAAATCATCCCTGTGTATCTTGTGCAGATCGCAATAGGTCAGTGCACGTACGTTGCAGGACGATTTGCCGACGGTCCGGTATATGCAAGGATTCTCCCCGAATATGTCGTCCTTGCCCAGTATGGCCATCACCACGTCTCCCTTCAATATCTCTATGCTGCCGCGTGATATGAAGTATAAGGACGTCAATACATCCCCTCGATGAACTAACGTGTCACCGGGTGGTGCGTGTGTGGTTTTGAATTTTAACGATAATGCCCTGTTGAAGCGATCAAACCGTTAACCTCTTTCCATTGCACAGGGTGAACCACCTAACTAGCACACCTCAGTGACTCCTAAATTATGCACTGATTGGAAAATTGTCGTGTAGAAAAGTTGCATAGTTTTAAGGGGAGGATGATACAAAGTATGTAGATTCTTCAAAAGTTTCGAGGTTGAGGAATGATGTATATTTTATGACAAAGTTCGAAAGAACGTAGAACTTTGGAATAGAAATGCTTGGTCCGTCAAAGACTGCTGATATTAAATTTTCAAGTTGACGTTAGGCAAATATTTACCCAGCTAGATGGTTCACACGGTGTATAAAGAATTAATAGGTGAAATTTTCCAATGAATACCTTAAACAACCAGGACTGGCAGCCTCGAAGGCTCTACAGTTGTTCAAAAGATTTCTGTTCAGATGAAGACAGATGTCCGCCTGAAGGCACTCGGGGAATCCTTTCAGAACGCTGTTCATGTCGATCCCGTTCGTATATGTCCAAGCATGCTGAAAGTACTCTTCCAAACGTTGACGAAGCGGATTTGGGATCTGATGGAATCGTATGAACTCTCGAACTCGAAGCATCTGCGTGTGATATCTTGCTGTACCGCTGTAAAGCCTCTGAATGATCGCTGAGACATTACCGAAGATACTGGCGTACATCAAAGCTAAAATGAAACGTTCGTGTCCGTTTTAGATGGAGAAAAAATCAGACGGTAGCCTTTCGTTCTTTCTCTTCTTCTCTTTAAATTCGTTTAATAATTATCAGAACACCGGTGACGTAAAATAATATCGACTATGCCGGTCTAGAACTGAGGACTGGACTAATTGAAACGATTACATCATTCCGGTCGATACTCACATCCGATTAGCATAACTATTATAGTAAATATCTTCTCGGCGTCCGTGTTCGGAGCCACGTTTCCAAAGCCAACCGATGTTAAACTACTAAAGGTGAAATACAGTGCTGTGATATAGCGGCTCTGAAAAACAAAAATTGAACGAAGGATGGGTTGTTTAGGTCGGAAGCATGTTCTTTTCGTTCGACGCGGTTGTGATATAAGAAAGCATCGTCGATCCGCCTTTGTGCGATTATTCGGCTGGCGACCAGACAAGCTGTGACGTTTTAGTGTTCGGCGAGTTCGTTTACCTTTATACTTGGCCCTCCTGTGTTGTTGTGAAAATAAAACTGATGTGTGTCGTTGGCCAAAATGTCGAGCCAGCCGACTTTGCTCTTCAGTGTTGGTCTCTCCGCGTTTCCTATGGCGTACCTTCGACAAAAAACGTTCCAATTCTTGCCAAGACATTCTTCGAAAGTGAGATTTCATTAAATGGAACGATTTTCTAAAGCTTCTACCTTTTTTTGGGTCGTTTCGTGTCGACGATTAAACGTTACAATATTTCGCCTACTAACCCATTTTCTACTGTTTCTTTACGATTATGTTTTATACGGGAAATTTCATGCAGGTAAAACGTCGACGTCTTTACAAGACATCGGAGGAACATCTTACCATATGCACGCCATCCAATGAGCACTAAGAGCGAAGGTGCCCATCAGAAGGAGTAAAACTGCGGCTCCATATTCGCTGTATCTGTCGATCTTCCTGGCTACTCTGACGAGTCGCAGAAGACGAGCCGTCTTCAATAGTCCTATCAAGGTGGTCGTCTGTAAAGAACACGTCACACTTTGTCGATCTCACGCTCGGCCGTACGAGTCTCTCGTTCTTTACTCGAGTTTCTCCGGTCGAAGCTAAAGGGAACTGACTTTGGCCATCGATTCAACGAAAATAGTAGCACTTTTATTTGCTATGGAATGCTTCGACGTTCGACCTGGAAATTTCATTTCCTTTCGACCAATTCTATTCGAGATGTTCTTTACTCGAGTTTCTCCGGTCGAAGCTAAAGGGAACTGACTTTGGCCATCGATTCAACGAAAATAGTAGAGCACTTTTATTTGCTATGGAATGCTTCGACGTTCGACCTGGAAATTTCATTTCCTTTCGACCAATTCTATTCGAGATGATTACACGATCGACCACTTATCGATAATTTCAGAATTTCCTAACTTGGCAACTCGGTGAATTAAAGAACATCGATGGTTGAAATTGAATTTTTTTTCTAGAACTCAGAAATTTCATATAAATTCTATAGAGAATTTGATGAAATTCGATACGATCCTGTCAGGAATAACGAAATTATGCCAACAGAAACACGGTCACTTGGATATAATGTACTTTCTCCGGTGAGTGCAGCAATCGAATAAGAAATGCGATACCAGTTAGAGAAGATATACGAATAATTGATCCTGGCCCCGATACACAAGTCTTACGGCAGAGCATTCCACTTAATCAGTTTTTTATCGAGCTGTTCTTCTTTCACAATAACGCCAAAGTCAGTTTGACAGTCTGAGTTATCGTCGTAAATGGTAGTTCTTACGAGGAATCTCTAGTACGCGACTGTCGTTCTCGTGTACGATCGATCGAGACGACGCCGGTCATTTTTAGGTCAGCCAGAACCTTCGTAACGCATAATATTCACCTCTGTAGCATTTCAAGACAAAATTATCACACCATCGGTGACCAAGAAGATAGTCGAAGAAAAAATTTGGAAATACATTGAAAACAACATTCGAGAACGACAGTCGTGAAGATAACAGCTGACTCGTGAGCAGACATTCCGTCTCGTTAATGGCATTCCCAAAAGGAAACTCTAAGATATATCATTACCTTCAACGTTTACAAACCCCTAATTCATTATCTGGACTACCGCATTTATGTATAAATCTCTCGTGAAACAGAGACAAAGAAAAAAAGGAACAAAAAGAGTACATAGGCAGAGAGTACTTACTAAAGATCCACATCTCGAAATATAATATATACGTAATCGCTAAATAGTAACAAGTCAAAATGACGATCATACGTTCTAATGGAGGATCTTGTTATTCACAGTGAACCAACATAACTACGTGTCCAATATCAGATCTTATACTCGTTGCGATCGTGTCACCAAGCAATTCAAATCGTTCAAGATTAATGTCACGAATCGTTTGCCATTCTCACTGTGTGTGTGTGTTCCATATATTGATCAAGATTCGACTCACGAGCAGGCTTTCTTTCCTTATCTTTCCAAAGAAATGTAGGATCATTCGCAAAGTTGGCATTCTGCATTCACAACCATGTAAATTACCAATGTTGCAAACATAATATTCTGCTCAATCAAACAAAAAACACAACTGGGCGAAGTGTGTAGAACGTGATTTATATACTCATGCTTAAGGTTCACGTCGATGGAGATTCTTACCTGGCCGGTTCGAGATTTTCGATTAGCGGCTTCGGAATGGAAATCGTCACTCGGAGCAGCCGCGTCGCTCGCTATTCAGAGACGACGTCGTTCACAAACAACTTTTTTTTCTTTCACATGCAAAGTCGACACTACGCTCCATGTATCATTCAAAAACACCCACAAAAAAAAAAAAAAAAAAAAAA